CAGGGCAGGACTCACAGTCGATCTGTTGAGAAAGGAGAAAGGCCTAAACTAGGACCATGGTGGGCAGAGACAGACTGAGAGACATTTATGAACTGGCAACTGACTTGATGGAGGGGTTGAGGGGAATGGAGGGACCTAGGGTGCTGTGTGAGGCTTCTTGTTTGTTTGAGTAGACGGTACCTTGAGTCAAGAGAGGTGACCCTAGAGGATGTACAGGGTTGGAGAAAGCAGACATGTTACGTACATCACTGGAGAAATGGGTCTGGAGTGCAGGAAAACTAAGTTGAGATCTATATTTGGATATCATCAGCATTCAGGAAGTTGTTAGGGCCATTCGTATGGATAAGTTCAAGTAGCTTGAGTACCAGAATAAGAAGAGAATGATCCAAGTTGGGAATCCTGGAAATGCAAATATTTGAGTGACAGGAAGAGTACAGAGCTTGGAAAGGAGACTGGGAATGTACAAAGTTTATAAAGAATGTAGTTCGGATCAGGGTCAGAGGAGAAAGGCCAGGCTGATGATAACTGGTGATGTTATGCTAAAGACAAGGATGCAGAGGAAAGGAAGATGGGCTTAGCTCAGCCTTGCCCAAGTGACAGAACTAGAAATCCTGTGAAGTAACTTCAGGTCACCTTAAGGACCTCCTAGACAACTTATCTAGAGGTAGAAGAGCCTCCTCCTGAGGTAGTAGGTCCCTGTGGCTAAATGCATTGAATTCTAGTTGATGACCACTTGATAGGAACGTTGCAGAGGAAATTCAGGTATCAGGGGACTAATTACCAACTGGGCCTTCAAAGTCTTTCCTAGTCCCAAGACACTATGCTGTTGCCTATTAGTGTGAGGTCGCCTTCTCCTCTCACTATCTTCAGAAGTAAAGGACAGATCCCCAAATTTCCTTTCTCTCTCTCAATCATAGGTAACAGAGTTGTTAATTATGGGATTAACTATAGTCCCTGGAACACACTTATATTCTCAACACGTCATCTTTCCAGAAATTTTCGTTCTGCTTTACTTTCCGGGCAGAACTTCCTTTTGTGAATCTTGTTCCAAACTATGTTCTCTTAGATTTCAAAAGAATTACCCTTGATTCTACCAATAAAATCAATATTAACATATCTTTCCCCATATCATAAGTGGAACTCACAAAGTCTATCAGCTTTCATATTTCCAGACTAAGAGTTCTGATACTGTCTGCCCTAGTATGAATATTTTTCTTTCCTTTTATCTGAAGATTTTCTAGGCCCTTTTAGTTGTCTTTGTGGCATAGCACCAGGATTATGAGCAGCATTCAGTGTGCACATCTCACTGTTTGCTACATGACAGACGCGTTTTAATTTCCTTATGAACATCAGCCTCACAAAAAGCTGTTTCTCAGGGAAAGATTTGCTATAATTCTAAGTTCATTTCCTGACTCGCACTGACAACTGAGGAATAATATACAGCATAGTTGTACTTACCTGGAACAAATACTCAACCGTTACAATAAACTTACAGGAAAGTAGTGAGTTTATTATTGATGGCTTTGACAATAACCCCAGGGTCATTCCCCTATGACCACTAAGACATATGTAAAACCCTTGTAAAAACTCTTGATTCCAGCAATGACATATTTTCTCTCACTTAAAAAAGTTAGATTATTGTGTAGGCTCTATAGCTACCTCCATTTCTGCTTATATCAATCATTTAGTGTTTTGGAAGGTTCAATGGTCATTGATTGCAGCCTCACATTCTTTACATTTTTATATAGTGAATCATCTCATAGTCTTACTTCTGCTTCTATACTGAAAAGTCATGGGCAGCGACTATCAAAGCAGCAGCACTCTTTTCAAAAGAGCTTCGCAGTACAATGATTACGCTATGAGGTTGTAGCACGGCCCCCGTTCTGCTGCTGTGCTCTGGAAGATCTGTAACAGCCATTCCTCTGGCCCCGATACTAAGGTCAGAATGACATTCTGCTGTCTCATCAGAATTCTTTGTCTTTGACCTCTTCCCCTTTGGTTTTATTCTAACTAGGTTGTAGGGCTATGTTCTCTTTCTGTACCCTACCTGGACCGGTAAGTCTTACACATTTTCCTATTTATCAGTATGCTACTCATAGCCACTGCAAAGCCCTGAATCTGAAGGGCTCAGTGTGTTATTTCTCAGTTTTTTTACCCCACTTCATGGAACCCTTAGTATTGGAGGCCATATTTTAAGTGGAATTGGAGGCTTCTTCCATGTTTAGATAGTCTATGAAATCTTTCCCCCACAAAGTGATCACTTTTGAAACATTGATGAACTGCTGACTGATGGCCTGTACAGTCCTTTGAGCTGAAATTCACCTCCTTGTCCCTCAGCCTCTAGCCCAACATCTGCTGCTTAGTCTGCATCAAACAGGTATTTGAGTGAGTAATTGGGGGGAAGTTAAAGTATACACTTTGAGAACATAAGGTCCAGGTCTTCTGGGGTCATTTTCTTTTGTCTAAGCTTAAGAGTCATCTTCCAGAAGCTGGAGGTAGGACTAGATGTGGTGGTTTTCATAGCGGGCTATGGGAACTGCCCAGGGGGAGGGGGTGGAGCGTGACAGAAGTACAGATTCCTGTGTTGATCCCTTGAATCAGAGTAGCTAGAGGTAGACTGGGATTCTGTATGTTTCGTAAGAGAACCAGTTACTATAGTTTGCAGAGAGTAACCTGCAAGGCCTCTTTCAGCAATAACATTCCTTGGTTCAAACAGTAACTATCTAACGGAAGCAGACAGAACCTTTTTTTTTTCTTTTTAAATGACCCCATTCTGATTTGCCTTTTGTCATCCTCATTCAGGGCCTGCTCAGCCAGTCGGTGATTTCTCCAACAGGGAAGGTCCCCTCCCGAGGCTCAAAGCATTTGAGGCTCACACCTGTTCCCCTCAAGGATGAGATGACCTCGCTGGCTCTGGTCAATATTAACCCCTTCACCCCAGAGTCCTATAGAAAACAATTCCTTCAGTCCAATGGCAAGAGGAAAACCCGAGGAGATCTGTAAGTGTGCTGTTGCCTATGACTTTTCGGAACCGATCTTACTCTGGTCAAGTGGGAAGGAGAGTGTTAGATCAGGAACTAGACCTCTATTTGAATGAAACTGGCATCACGTTTACACATTCCCTCCTTCCTACCTGTCAGTGTTGGTTTTAACTTGCTTTGTCACAGAGATTCTAGCATCTTTTCATTCTGAAGTGGATTGTAAGGCACCTTCTCTATAAAAGAACAGGAGAGAGCAAGCAACAGAGCTCTGACTTCCACCAGGGAGTTGAATGGGCTGTGGAATCACATTCACGGGGTCTCCTTTGGTAACAGAAGGCTGGCAGCTGGGGACAGAGTAGCTCACACTTGAGATAGTACATTGCTCTTTCCAGCCTGGCTTGTGTGACTGGTGATGGCAGTTGCAGGCCAAGGACCTGAACTACTGTACAGGTGATGGAAGATGGGCTGAAGAGAAAATGGTACTGCCACTTTTGGAGGTGCCGAAAGTGGAAAGGCAAGCTGCATACTCTACGAAGGCCACTGAGTGGTAGAAATTGTCTAAAGTTGGTGCCTATTGCTCAGGGCCATTTCTTTAATATGTCTCGTCTATGCTTTTTTATAGAATGAAAGCACCTCTAAAATGGACGAGTCAAATATGCTCATATGTACTTAGCAAAATAAATGCACAGCTAACAATCTGAAGTTTGCAGAGTATTTAATGTGTTACACTGAGTTGTTTCCCTTGGGATCAATGACTGTATTATGGCCAGAATAGTTGTCTCAACACTGTCTTCTGGATCTTAAGTAAAGAAGACTTCAGCATAAGTATACCAGTCCACTTTTTTTTTTTTACCAAGGATTCTACTGGTTTTAGCTCTTTAGGATCCCTTGTAAACCATCAGAATTAAGGGTACCACCTCTCACTGAAGCTAGCTGGAGAAGACAGCTAATTTGAATTCCTGGCTCTGAAGGTGGTGATGTGTTAGTCACATCACTTAGTGCTTCTGATAAGGTATTTTTTTCTCCATTATTTATTGTGCTGTTATTTGATAAAGTATTTAAGAACATTGTATTTAAGTCACAAATGTCCAGTGTCAATTTATATCTATGAGTTTAATGTCCTCCACTGACCATATTTCTACCCTGTACTTCTCCAGAAGAAAAATTTACAGCTGGCCGATCTAGAAATTGCAGTCTTGCCTAAAGATCCAGAATGCAGCTGCTCACGCCAAAGAGGATGTTTGTCAGGGACTTCAGCTTATTGAAAAGTAACTGAAAATGTCCTAGCCTGGTTTAGAGCTCTTTCCGCTGTACTTACAGGCCACGTTTGGGGCTAAGGGGAGGTGTGGGAAGGGAAGTGCTGGAACATGGCAGCCAAGAGCACTTACGGTCACACACTTCTGGGCACTCCCTGGCCTCCACTTCTCAGCTTACATTGTTCTGTCTGCCTAAACCCCCACTCCTTTCCCTTAGCCTGTTCCCACTCATTCTTGCAATCAGCTTACATAGCCTCTCATTTGTGAAAGACTTTTACTCTTGAAATAATTAACTGGGCGCTGTCTTTGGTGTCCTTTCATATCTTGTTCTTATCCTGTCCTAGATTCTTAGATTGAAATTTTGTTTATCCTCATCCTCAAACATAATTTGAAGAGGGGAAGGAGTTGCCATAAGTGTTTACTCTTACAGCCCCAGAACCTAGCTCCGGATCAGTAGGTGCTAATCCTACATTGCTGTCTGCTGTCTTTGGTGTCCTTTCATATCTTGTTCTTATCCTGTCCTAGATTCTTAGATTGAAATTTTGTTTATCCTCATCCTCAAACATAATTTGAAGAGGGGAAGGAGTTGCCATAAGTGTTTACTCTTACAGCCCCAGAACCTAGCTCCGGATCAGTAGGTGCTAATCCTACATTGCTGTCACTTTTTTTTTTGTTTGTTTTTTTAAGTGAGGAGGAAGCTGGTCCAGGGGAAGGCAAAGTAGAACAAGGGCTGCCTGCCAAGGTGAGCGTAGTTCTTCCGGTTCAGCTGTTGTGACATAGTCATTTCATCCTATTGCCTTTCTTTGGCTCTCCCCTTTTAGGAGATGTAGTTGAGTTTATCTGGACTCTCATCAGGGCCTATATTCTTAGCTAGTTGTTACTTTTTCAGACAGTGTCTGATACATATTGCTGAATCATTTACCTTGGGGTGTTTTTAAATTAGAGCTACTGCTTCTATCTTTGGGCTAGAGAAAAATTCTATTCTCATGGGGTAAAGTGAAGGGAAAAATCAAGATATTTAAGATCCAAAAATGGAAAAACAGAGCAGTGAAAAATGGCATAAAGCCAGAAGTTTACATGTAAAGTTTTAGCTCTTAAATGTGTCAATATCTATTGGTTTTTTAAAAAATAATGTTTATAACCTTTTATCTAGTATTACTCATTTGATAGTTGATAATATAACTTAATAAAATACTACTATAAATATTATTACCAAAGATGTTTATTGCAGCTTTAACTATTAAAAAAAAAAAGAATGCTAAATGTCCAAAAATAGAAGAATGGCCAAGAAAATAATAGTTTAAAGTCAGTGGAATATTGCATTGCCATTAAGATGTTTCTGATCTCATGAAAACAGGCCTATGCTCAATGTTCAGTGCTCAAAAGGGTGGGGAGAGGTCAGGACTGGGGAGTGATGTGGATTGTAAAGTGACTTATTTGGTGTCTAAGATGAGGATGGGAAGGTAGTGGGTGAGGATTTGGTACGTGGCCTTGAAGCCTCTGATCGGAAGTTTGGATTACTTGTGGGAAACAATTAGGCAGGTCTGATTCTACAGTATCATTCTTCAAAAATAATTTTTACTTTTACAGGAGATGGAGAGGGGGCTACTAGCTCTAGCAAATCCAGACATGGAGGAAACAGAGTTTGAGATGAGCTAAGGACAATGAAAATAAGCGTCTTCCTGATGAATATTGATTGCAATTGGATGGTGAAAATGAAGAGCCAGTTAAAGATTTTTGAAAACTCAAAGTTAGATGAAAAAAACCTTGCTAATGGGGACATTAGGAAAAGATGACTTGGTGTAGATAGATCAGCTTGGACTGGGATTCATACACATTTATGGACATTGTTGTCCTTATAGCTATCATTTTCTGAGAATTACTATGCACTCAGCATTGTTCTAAGTTACACATACATACTTCCTCATGTAATACCTAAAAGAACTGTGAGGAGTAGCTGCTATGATCGTCATTTTACAGATGAGAAAACTGATAGAGGAATTCAGCCATTTGCCTACAATTGTTGGCCAGCTGGGTAATGGCTGATGTTGCTAGTTGGCCAGTAGGGGGAGAGGCTACTCCTGAGCGCAGACTGAAATAATTTGACCATTTTGTTCTCCAGCCTAACTTAAAGGCAAATAGGTTTATTCAACTTGAGATGAAAACATCAGCAGCCAGAGTGGAAGACAGGCAGACAAGGGTAAAAGGAAGGTGACTTTTCTTTTAATATCCTCCATCCAGATCCCAGCCACTCCTTCTGTCACTCCTTGAGGACAACAGCTCTGGGTGTGACTAGTTGTGTTTCCTCTAGGAACACACAGAGAAGAAAAGTATGGCCAGAGGAGACGATGTGGAAAAAGGCATAATATAGAAAAGAACGGCAGTACAGAGCTGAATGGACAGTTATAAAGAATACAGAGAAGGTAGTCAGAATTTGGGGAGGTTCTTTCTACCATCCTGTTGCCACAGACAGAATCCAATGGATTTGCCTCAAAAGTCTTTTTGAAAACTTAGAGACATTTAGGAATATAATATGCTTTAATTTTATTGCTCACTATATGTTAGAATTATTTTAATTCTTTTCCTAAAATATTTTAGAGATGTGTTCTACGAGAAACCAACATGGCTTCCCGCTATGAAAAAGAATTCTTGGAGGTAGAAAAAATCGGGGTTGGGGAATTTGGTACCGTCTACAAGTGCATCAAGAGGCTGGACGGGTGTGTTTATGCCATAAAACGCTCCATGAAACCTTTTGCAGGATCACCAAATGAGTGAGTACCTTTGAAATGTATTGGAAGTACAAGCTTGGATTCAGAAAGCTGTTTGTTGTCAAAACATTTTAAATAATAGCACTGATGTCATTAAAAAACATACCATTTACTAGTTTTAAAAAAATCGCTCCCCCTCCATTGTGTGTTGTCTTACATGACCTTTCTGGATTTTCCAGATCAGAGAGAAGTAATTTCCTAAAATATATCATGATCATTTGGGATCATGTTGTGTTTTTTCATGGTTCTCGTGACTTTTACTGCTGGTCTTACTGCTTTTATTTTATTGAATAGATTTATGGAATGATCTGGTGCCTATTTAATTCATCAGAGATATTGCCAAGTAGGAAGTTATTGTTAACTCACTGTTATTAATACTTAGCATTAATAATGAACTCAGTGGTCAAGTTTCAAAGACTATAAGGACAAATTAATAAAAATGTAAATTTCATTCCCAGAACTAATTGTTCAAAAGTTCTTCCTTTTCACAAGGAAAACACATATTTTCAGTTAGCCAATGCTTTTTACAAACTATGGGGATATGATACTTAATACGCTGAATCTGAAATTATAGACCTTAGAATTCTTCACTGAAATTCATCAAGTACTATATTTACTTTTTTTGTATTGGATTTCCAGTACCATAATGAATATCTCTCCCCAAGACTGAACCTGGACTACATTGTGTTGCCCGAGTTTAATATTGACTCAAATGACTGTCCAGCCTTCACAGAGAAGATAGAGGGCCCATCCCAATATCTACAATCACATCTAGGTGGCCTTTAGTGGCATTCTTGTTTAGCCCAACAAGGGTTTTTTATTGATACAGTGAAATACAGATTCAAAGCCTGACTGCCGTTGAGGTAGTAGCCACCTGAGACTCCTCTTTACATATGCCATGTTTGAATAAAAATAATCATGGACTTTGGCACCAGGACCACCAGAGTTCTGGTCTTAGATCTACTATCATCGGCTTGACCTTAGGCCAGTCACTGAACTTTCTAAAGCCTTCATCCTTGCTACTGTATCTGACTGAGTAGCTATGAGGATTAAATGAAATAACATAGTAAGCAAGCATTGAGTATTCAGTGTTCTTCCATTGTCTTTTAAAATAAAACACTTGTATGTATACTGTCTTGATTCATTTTTGTCGATGCTTTTCTGTCTCTTAGGAATTTGGCTTTGTATGAAGTTTATGCTCATGCGGTGCTTGGCCATCACCCCCATGTGGTCCGTTACTACTCTGCATGGGCAGAAGATGACTACATGATCATTCAGAATGAGTACTGCAACGGTAAGTGTGTGGACCAGTATCTACAGAGGCGGAGATGAATTTACAAGTCTTCAGAAAAAACCTTTGCCTTCTCCATGTAGCTTATGCTAGGTATAGCAGAGTCTATGTTATTTTAAAAGTCTGTTTTATGATTTTGCTTGGAAGCAGTGAGCTGGAGAAAATAAGTTGAAAAGGAATTTCAGGTTTATGCTGTTATGTTTTTTCAAAGCTGATGTGTAACTGATACGTAGAAGCTATTATTCCCTTCACACTTAATACTTAGAAAACTTTGACCCTTGTGGTTTAAACGGGAAATCATCCTTTTTGCCGTTTGCTAGGTGTTGTAAAAGAGGAAAGTCATAGTCCCTACCATTTGGGGGGAGGGATAAACTTACACAGCCAACTTTTGATTAATTTCAAGTGGATTTCTGAGTTTGAGGATTGTTCATGCTTCTTGCTGCCGCTTCCTTTGAGCTTTAGTATTTTCACAGAGTAAGAGGATGGGGTGGGATGCTGGGACCGAAATTCCGTGGCTTCAGATAGATTCTGCTAGGTTTTTCAGGACCATATATACACAGTAACTGGTAAAACCCTTTCTGGGTTACTTAAATCACAAAGAGTGGTCCTTTGGTTTAACGTATTTCTAATATATGTTTAAGAATTGTCCACTATGTCTATGTTGACATAAAGCCATTATGTGTTCTTGGAAATGTTTTTCACCAAAATGTTCAGTGGTAGAGTAGAAAAATGCTACCAAGTTGAACATAGCTTGCCATCATTTTAGGAGTAGCAATCCATACTCTGGCCAGTAAAATGGGAATACTGGACAACAACGTTCCTCTTCTACCAACTCCACTCTCCCCCATATACAAAGCCATCCCAAGTTTCTTTAATAGTATGCTCTGTCTCTTGAGTAGTTTTAGTAACCACCAGATCACTTTTAGTATGTAATGTCCAGCCAGCCTTTGAGGAATGTTACTGATGATATAGCTTCCTCACTATATAAAGGAAGAAGTATACATGTAGGTAATTAAATAGCATTATGAAATGCTAGAAATAGAGAAAATGGTATACACATCCTACAAAATAATGATTTGGCACTTTCCATATTGTTTCCTTAGAGCCTTGATTTGTTTATAGCCCTTCTGTGAACTTCATGGGGCATTTTCTCTAATAAGCTCACCCCCAAATCCCTTTTTTCCAAGTCTCTTTGGGATTAAAAAATGGACTTTCTCCTTGTGATTGAGAAGTTGAGATGTAATCATTTATGCTTCCTAATTCTTATCTTAACCTGAGATTCCCTATTCTTTTTTTCCTCCCTCTCTCTGTAAAGAATGGTTTTATTTCCATGAATTTCAGCTACCAACAAAGATAATACCAAATAACAAGTTAATCAATAAAGCAAAACAAAACTGATTTTTACCTGGTTTGAGGTCATGCAGAGATTTCAACTTAAAAAAAAAAAGATGGAGTGATTGTTCCTATTATAAATCTCTTTAATTCTTTTCAACATTTGAATGCCTTCTATGGACTGAAAACTGTGTTAAGCTCTAGGGTGAGATAAGGTAAATCTTCAAGGAGCTTTATTCCATTTGCTCTGTTACAATGAACACACAAGAGACAATTTGGTGCAAAGCCAGATATACAAATACGGAAGAAGTGTTTAGGGAAGATGAATGTGACCAAAAGGCAGCCTGGGGTGGTGGAATGGGCCTGGGCTTTAAATTCAGCTGTGGGTTCAAAACCCAGTTCTGCCTCACACCAGCTGTATGATCACTGGGATGTCACTTAATCTCACTGAGTAAAGAGAAAGTAATATTTACCTAAGGGAGTAGTTTCAGAATTAGCAACAATGTATGTCAAATGACAGCACCATGTCAATACCCAATAAATATATAGGAAGAACTGAATAATAGTTGTTAGTAGAGCAGCCTGAGAAGATCTCATAAGGAGGTAAGGAGACCTTACAGAAGATTACTGGAGTTGAAGGAAGTAGAGGGAAGACATCCTGTTAGGGCAACAGCACCCAGGCAAAGGGCATGTATTGAGAGTGGGTCTGATCCAGCAGACAGTAAGGAGAGTAACAGGATGGAGGCGACCCCTGGAGGATGAAATAAGAGCAGCAGGTAAAGTGTGAGAAGGCTAAGAGAGGGCTTTGAAAGCCAGGCAGTGGGTTCTGGACTAGCTGTGACAGACTCCAGGGAATACCGTCTGTTTATTCATCACGGTGGTCTCACTTCACTGAGTACACGCCAATTAAAGTGTAACACTGATTTATCAAAATATAATTCCCATACATGGAACCTTTCAAGTGTGAACTGATCATGGAAAATAAAGCATGCCCTTATACCTTCTCCTATATATGATGTACTTATGGAAAACCCAAGTTGAGACTTTGCCCTGTGGCTCTAAATAAAGGATAATAAGTGAAGTATTTATGAGGTAGCAGAATAGCGGTGTCTCATTCCTTCTATTGCCTGCCCACCTAGGTCTCCTACCCCTCCTTCTTTCTCACCTCTTCTTCCTTCTCATGCCCTGTCTCCCATGCCCACCTTACCCCTGTACCCCTCGCCTGCATAGCGGTCAGGCTGGAACATGTACAGTTATGGTTTTAATTTAGATTATAAAATGACTTAGATAAATTAGATTGTAACTAGTTGAGACTAGTAGTCATCTCATTTACCATATTGTCACTCCTGAGCCCTGAACCAATCAAATGTTACTTCTTTTCACCCTTGCCAAAATCCCCTACAAGTCACCTCTGGGTCAGCTCAGAATTCTGAAGGTTCTCCAGTAGTAGGTTGATTCTGCTACCATCCGGATTTTAACTGATTTAGGAGTAGATGATTAATCTCCTCCTAAAGGCAGTATTTTCTTGTGATGTCTTCTGGAGATTTGCAGAGCACGCTCCCCTAGAACAGTGGTTCTCACATTCGTTCAAGTGATATGATATCCAGAAGTCCTCTGTGGAACACCATGGATGCTGATTATATTTTTCCACCAAGCAAGGAGCTGCTTTACCAGCAGAAAAATATGCTTGTGTGTGTAGGTAGCAACATCAAGATTGTGAGAATACAAGTGAATGAACAAAATATCCTATTGAATTGTTGGTCTGCTTTTTACACTTTACTTTTGGAAGGCATTTGCTATTTGTTTTGGTATCTGTAGGCCTCACGAGCAGACAGGAAAACATATTTTTCTTGAGTTTTTTTTTTTCTTTTCCTGCCAAGTGGAGATAGTCCCTTTATTTTATCTAAAAGAAGGAATTCAGCAACTCATCTCCCAAAGGTAGCATGGGAAGAGCTGTCCACAAGATGGTATTTGTCTCCTGGGGCACAATGCTGAAAATGCAGGGGCTGCCTCCACGTGGTACCTCGGTTATAGAGTTGAGGCTCCAGATTAGCTGGGTGAGATTAGTAGGGATAAAGCTCATAGCTCATTCATTACTGTTGTGTCTGTAAACACGTTTATTTCCTTGTTAATACTCATTAGTAAAGAACAGTTAATTATGCTTTCTGTAAGAGATACACTATCAGCTTTGGCTGTAGCAAAATAAGAATATTCTAATACTTTGCCTGAATGGGTACTTTTCAGTAACTTCTACTATTGTTAATTATTACTTGGCTAACTTCTATATTACCTACAGAACTCCTAAGTAATTAAAAAGCTCTGCTAGAGCTAGTCTAGTTACCCTTACTAAATACCTGCAGCTCTTCCGGGGATGGGAAAGATCTTTGCTTATAATCTAAAAGAACGGATTCCAGGGTTCCTAAGTACCCCCAGGATGCTGCTTTCCTTCCATACCTTCCATGTGGCCCTTGAACCAGTCAATTCCCTCTGTTGCCAGGATACTCATTCAATTCAGAAAATATCTGTTACATGCCAGACCTTGGGAAAGTGAAGATGAATAAAAGAAGCACTGGGCCAGTAAGAAAACAAGAGTTCCAGTGGACATGCGGGCCTTGGACGCAGGCTTCCCCCTCCTCGCCACACCTCATGACCTCAGCTGCAAACGTAGTCTTGATGTCACTTTGTTTTTGACGAGCTCCAGCATGCTCTTCCCTTGCGTCCTCTTCTTTCTGATCAGTGTCATCCGGAGTACATATATTCTTTTCTAGGGAGATTCCCAGGGGAAAAAACCTTTACCTTAGTTAGCCTCTTTGTGCTTCTGAACGGGGCTGAATTCTTCTCCTTTCTGAACTTAATTACTTAACACAACAGATCAATCTTTGAATTTGATTTTTACATAGGATACTTTTAAATCTGAATTTACTCAGGGAAAAAAAAAAGTCATCATATCAGATCCTCTTGTTCTGAAATATACTTCAAGAGTGGAGCCATAGACTTTATAACTGCTGGGAGACCCAGGACTTTATAATTTGACTGAAGAGGCTGCCAATGAATGGAAAATGATTAAAGGGTTCAGATGCATTCCAATACCTTAGAGCAGAGATATCCAAGATCAGATAGTCAGATGAGCCCAGGCCTTATTTTTTATTGATTAACAGTGACAGATCAAGAGGCTATAGTTAATGTCCAGATACTCTGACTCAAATGGATTAGGTATTTATTGAGGTCTTCCATTTTCCTTGGGTAGCATCATTGGATGTTCTCATTTCATGATATATCCAATTGAATTGAACTTAGAATCAATTACAATAAATTACTAATGACCTATAATTACTAGCTTGACAGTGACAAGGAATTAATCATTAACACCAATAGTAGATATATGACTGGCCTGCCTGGCCTTCTGGTTAATAATTAGGTAAGATTTTAAAAATGTTTCTTGTGGCATACTCAAGATAATAGGGCCACATATTGGATACCCAGGATATGGAATTTTCTCTTCTGTTTGAAAAGCCCCGTAATTTTTCTTACCAGCATGTCTGTGGTACACAAGGGAAATGTTACGTTTTGCACTGACACTGAAATAATCTAGACTTGTTGGACTGAGCTCATTCATGAAGAATTTATTAAATATTTACTATGCTTTTACCTATAAGATAAAGACTCATACCTTTTCTCTCATTCTGCGGGTGCCACTGTCTGTTGTTCTTTCCTAGGTGGGAGTTTACAGGCTGCTATATCTGAAAACACAAAGTCTGGCAATCAATTCCAAGAGCTGAAGCTCAAGGACATCCTTCTGCAGGTTTCCCTTGGGCTTAAGTACATCCACAACTCGGGCATGGTGCATCTGGATATCAAACCTAGTTAGTACAGTTTCCCCGGCTCTTCTGGCAGGATCCCTTTCATTGACCCTAAAAGATTTTCAGTCAAGCCATTTTAGCTGTTTTTCCCTGGGCAGGGGACAATGAGAGAAATATTCTACCTAGACAGTGAAAAGTATGAAAATAAGTATTTAGTTTGCTGTGTGGATAAGTGACAGCAAATCCCGACTGTATTTAGGACTATACTATATTCTTCCTAATTCAGCAGTGATCAAAGCGAGCAGAAATGAATGATGTGGGTACTCATTAAGGTGAAATTCAAGGAAATGTTACTATTTTGTGTTTTTTGCTCGCTTCTTTGTTTTGAAGCCATGAGCCTCTTCAGAGGATGGGGTGTGTTTAAGGCCCACTTTCACTGTGATCGGTATTCTCAATCCCTGAGCTGTTCAGAAGTGGTGTGACAGATTCCTTGGATGGAAAGAAACTTCGGTTGTCTTGTTATATACACAGACTGGGGGAAGAGGGGCTGAAATGTCAAATACAGAGAAGAATCTTCGTGATAAGAGAGCTTAGGAATCACTGCTTACTTCAATTCTGTATTTTCTCAGGTAACATCTTCATTTGTCATAAGATGCAAAGTGACTCTCCTGTAGGCCCAGTAGAGATTGAAAATGAAGTGGATTGGTTTCTCTCTGCCAATGTGATGTATAAAATCGGTGGGTCTGCCTTATACCCTGAACTGTGTGCTATGTTCCTATAAAATTTATATAATGCCTCCTTTTCAGTTTTAAGAAAGACATGCTTTAAAGAGCTCTATTTCTTTTTTTCTGTTTTTAGGTGACTTGGGTCATGTGACATCAATAAGCACACCTAAAGTGGAAGAGGGTGATAGTCGCTTCCTGGCTAATGAGATTTTGCAAGAGGTATAGGCTAGGGAAGCGGGGGGTATTTCATACTCTGTTGAACCTCTTGATTTTCAAATGAAGGTGCACAGTGCAAGAAATGAAAAGTATATATTTATAGTTAAGATTTTTATTATCCCTTTTCCTATTCAGAATGGAGACCAAAGATAGGGGAGAAACATTTCCAAAACACAGTGAGGATGAGGAAAGCTGGCTCGATCATGCATTAATCAATATTTGTACTATTCTTTTTAAATGTCCTTTGTTTCCAGTACTTCTTGGAATTCCTACACCCACAGATTGCCTAGTAGGAAGGATGCCTTTACTGGTGCGATCCATCTTTATCAGGCTACTAACCTGATGAGAGTACCACCTGCTCTGGTCACTGACATGACCGTTAGTTATCGCCTGCTTTCTAGGATGTCATGGAGTGAGGCCTAGAAAGGATATAACTTCCTCCAGGGTGACCATCAGGAAAAGCCAAAGAGTCTTTCCTATCCATGATCAGCCAGTCTCTGCTTCAAGCCTCTTCGGGCTTGACAGAACAAAACAGTTCTAAGAGTCTGCCTTAAATTCTTAAGGGTACAGCAGTGTTAATCAGGTGGATTTGTGTTCTATCCTCTGTCTTCTCTGGAAATAAACCACTAACCACAGTGGTATTACCTTGCAATTGTGTCTGCTTAAGCTCACAGGCATTCAAGTTAACCTTTCTTACTAATTGTATTTTAGACTGGACGCTCTCTACTCGGCAAACTCACTGGCCTTCCTGTCTTCTGTTTTGCAGGATTATCAGCACCTTCCCAAAGCAGACATATTTGCCTTGGGACTAACAATTGCAGTAGCTGCAGGAGCAGAGGCATTACCCACCAATGGTGCCACGTGGCATCGCATCCGCAAGGGCCACCTTCCAGACATTCCTCAGGAGCTCTCAGAACAACTTCACAATCTACTCAAGGTGATATTTTAATGAGATGAAGTGAAGGTGGAGATGTCTGTTTTTAAAAAGATGTAATGGCAAGTAGGTGGGGAAGGGGAAACAGAGATGTTGGTAGTGCCATCAACAGAAGAAAAAAAGGACTCATGACCGGAAGCCCAGAAAAGGCACAGGACAGATTGAAAGCTTCTCAAGGAAACTTAAGAGGATATCACTAAGCCTTTTTTGTTACAGTTTTAAAATCCTGTTACATTTTTTATTTGCCCTTCCCAAATACCCTGTGAGGTGAGCACTTTAGGAAAACAAGGCTCAGAGAAGTTTCTGGAATTGTATTCTCACCTTTGATGATTGATTAATTCAAAAATCAGACCTAGTCTTTTTACTCTTATTTTAGGGTTTTAACTATGATAACTGTAATATTACTAAAAAATTGAATTTGAGTGTGTGGAAGAAAGCACAAGCAACCATATTGATTAATGACTGACAATACCACCAATCATTTGAGCTATTGGAAGAAAGGTAAAATGTCAACCCAGGAATCTATGTGTTAGTTGTATTCGATGATATCTGAGTATGTATAGGACAGGAAAGGAAGGTATTACACTGACACAGAGAGATACAAAAAAACCTACACTGTTGAGAAGCTTAGAATTATACTAAGAAAACAAAATGTATATGTAAGACTTACTTCACGGTTTAAGGAAAAGGATCAGTTAGGATCCCTAAAATAGTCTTAAAAATATATACTTTTTGGAGATTAGAGTTTCACAGTTTATCTGAAAACTTCAAATTTAGTTACAAACATGTCCTTAATCCTCACTTTTGCTTTCCCAAAAGAAAGGTTTCACAGTGAACCCTTGCTTCCAGTGGTTTTTGTTTATAGTCTAATCACCTATTTCTATGTGTGAAGTGCTCTAAGATTTAGCTTCTACTTACCAAGTGCCTCAGGGGCTTGCCCTGTGCTGTGTAATACATACATGTTATATTAATAATAATACAGTTTTCACAATGGTCCATAAGTTGAATATTGTTATACCCAACATCAAGAAAGGGAAACTGAGTTTCAGCAAAGTTAAGTAACTTGCTAAAGGCTACATAGTAAATGGTGGAACTAGCTTTGAACATTGGTCCCCAGGTAGAAGGTTCAGTGCTTTCTTCACTATATGACATTGCTAACTGTTGGAAATAATTACGTATATTCTATTCTATTCACTTTATATACAACTGCTACTGGAAGATAAATGCCATGGAAATACTGTCATGATGGAGCATCCTTAATTAATTTTATGTGAAAAATGAACATGTGGCAGAAATGAAGCAGACCTAGGAGCTGTGTAACCTGGGTTTTAGTATTGGCCTTATCAATGAATTGAACAAGTCACTTTTTATCTCAGGACTTCAGTTTCTCCCTTTTTAGAATTAAGGCATTAGACTAGTTAATTATGCAACTAGCTCTAAATATGTTACTTAAAGACAAAGGTATGGATGAATGATGCCCCTGGACAGGGATGCCTCAGAATTCTGAGACTGAGACTCCTGTTTCAGGTGGAGCTAAGTTTTTGTGATTTCTTCCCCCTGCACAGAGAAGAAGGTGTCACAAACCCACCAGCAGAAGCTGGGTTGGCGTTGGCTTGGGTGGGGAGATCTTCTCAACAGTGAAGCTTCTGTTTCCTTCCCTTTGGTCTACATCATCAGAACATGATCCACCCTGATCCAGAGGAGAGACCTTCGGCAGCAGCTCTGGCCATAAGTCGAGTTCTCCGGCCCTCCCTGGGGAAAACAGAAGAGCTCCAGCAGCAGCTTAACCTGGAAAAGTTTAAGACAGCCACACTTGAAAGGTAGATTGTGGATGCTGGAGTCTAGAAAGAATCTATTTGTGTACTACTCACAGGGATAGGACTGGTCTGCTGTGTCTTCTCTATGGGTTTAGTGGAAACTTTATAATACCGAGGTGCCTGCCCACAAAGAGACTAGTAGGATGGGGTTGGCCTCCCAACCTGGTCTAGACTAGACTGCTTGTGAGAGAAAATTCCAGTTAATGCAAAAGAAGCAAAGTGAGAAATACAAGGAAATACAACTGGTAAAGAAAGCTCAGTAGGATTCTGACAACAGGTACACAAGTGACTGGTGGACGGTCACCCACTGCAAGATAACCCTAGTTAAGGTGGGACAAGACCCACTTTAGAAATCCATTACATTGCAGGGACAGGCAGATACACTTCATACTTGTTTAGAAGAAGTGATGTTTTTCTAAGTCAAAGGGAGCAGTCTGATCACTTATTCATGTAAGCTTGTATTCATGCACATATTATTTATTTTATTCTTTCATTAAACAAACAGGAGTTAATTAGGTGGGTGGGGTTGGTATATAGGCTAGGCAATGATGTTTGAGCAGAGTTCTGAGGGCATTTCTGAGTGATCATTATATATACTGTACACTGTTGAAAACAGAAAAGGAGATGAAAAATGGTCCTTGCCTGAAATAAGCTTAGAATTCCAACTTATTTTGGATACAAAATCCATCGTGGAATGAAGACCTTGAAAAGTCCCCCAAATAATTTCTTGCCAATGAGTTGTGGAGATTTTAAGCCTATATTCATATAATTCTTCCTAAGAAACCACTTAATATTTTTTGCTTTAGTTTAGGGTTCCATTTTCCCAGCTAATGAACAAAATACTTATACATATGCTGTCACAGGACTGTAAGTATTTCTTAAGGGGTGGTGTGTACATTCTGTGAAGCCAGCTATGGAGGCATAGATGACTGTCATCAGCCAGGTGAGCACCCGTCAAAGAGGTGGGGCAGGTGCCTTCTGGAAATTGTCTAGACCAGGGCTCAGCAAACTTTTCTGTAAAGAGCGAGGTAGTATATATTTTACGCTTTGTGGGCCATGTGACTTTGCTGCAGTGACTCACCTCTGCTGAAGTCATGTGACAGCAACCTTAGACAATGTGTAAACAACAAATGGGTACAGTTGAATTCCAATAAGACTTTTTTTTACAAAAACAGGTGGCCGGCCAGACTGGACCCACAGGGTGTGCTTTGTGGACTGCTGTAGCTTTCAGGCATAACCTGGAGGTGTTCCCTTATTACTATTTTTATATTTTTACTTTTAAAGGCCATTTATGCCCCAACCAGTAGGACTGAAGAAAACTGAACTGCTGTGTGTTGTGGCATGTGTCCCAGCCAATTTTTAAGATGATCATAGGAGCCAATTCTTTATTCTGTGTACAGGCTCATTTCTATAAATTACTGAAATAAAAAGAAAAACCTATTAATATGCTGATTTTGATCATAAATATTATCTCTAATTTAGAATCAAGTAACATACATTTTTTCCCTCTTGTATTGCCAGAGAACTGAGAGAAGCCCAGCAGGCCCAGTCCCCGCAGGGAGCCCACGGTAGCCCTGGAGTCTCTGGGGCCCCCACTGGATCAAGAAGCACCAAACGCCTGGTGGGAAGAAAAAGTGCAAAGTCTTCAAGCTTCACCTATGGTAACTCATTCCCATAAGAACACATTTCACACCAACGCACCTTTTACCCTATAGCTTTCAGAAATAGATACTGACCACGTCAACCTTCCTCTTACAAGTTGAAAGATTATAACCAACTTGAATGCCCCAAAATTTCTAGAGCCACTCCTAATTTGGCATTTACAGCCAAGATCCTAAAGCTGTTAAGGCCTCCTAGTAGCTATGATCCCAGGTACAATAATTGGTAGCATTTCTTTTCTCTGTTTACTTCTCGCACTTGTGATGCACAGTGGGAAACCACAGGCCTCCGCACAGCCAGTGGACTGAGAGGCTGCTGTGGCCGCTCACCTACCAGGGGTCCCAGGGGCTCTCCATGTACATAGGAATACAGTTTTGTTTTGTGTGAAGTACAAGTTCACAAGAAAATGCGCCTGCCTTTCCACAATGCTTCCCAAGTTATATGATGGTATTCTGGAAAGAATTCTCAGCCACTTTGAGCAAATGGTTTTTTTCTACTGTATAAGCTGAATAGAGACAGTTCTTTTCTCTGACATTGTGATTATTAAATGACTTCACCATTAAGAGAGGTGGGCAGAAATAAGACTATATATAACTTGTGATTTCTGATCTGGGCATTCACTTATGGAACAAAGACACGAGGAAAAGGGCTTGAGGGAAATTTGATGTGGTTGTTCTCCCTCAATCTATTTGCCCTGATCCTTTTGTGACTGTTATGACTGGTTTTGATGTTATGGCTGTCATCAATTTCTTCTTGATTTTACCAGAATTTGACTTTATTTCCTGTGATTTTATCATATTTTATCCAAATCCTTTTCTCTGTAAATATTTTTAAAGGAATAGAATATTTGTAAATAAAGGTTTTTATATTGTCTAAAGTCAAATACGTGTAAAGCACTCTTCATTGTAATATGCAACTAACAAAGAGTGAGAACTTTATGCTGGAAAACCATTTCACAAGTAGATAGGTAAGAGAAGCCAATATGCTGGTTCTAACAGGTCTTGACTGCAAGGCCCCGCTTCAGAGGCCCAGAAGCTAGTAATCGCCAGCCTCTAATATGCAATGATATTAGTCATAAGGTCATTTGATAACTTCTAGTGTGTCAGATTAGTGCAGGTAGCCCGCTAATGGTTTGTTACGCTTCTTTTCCTGCCTCATTTTCTTCTTCACCCTCAATTTTTAAAAGCAAATTAAGATTTTTAAAAATTGAATAAACCATTATACCATTATTTGTTCTGTCTTGGAGAAGGAATTATTTCTATTAAGTGGGATTTGGCACTCTGTATTGCCCAGTACCTTTTAAATTCATCTTTATTCAATGTCTTAACATTGAGTTAATTTATCTCTTGCATCCCCCACCTCAGCCTTGCATGTCCCTTGCAATATAGTGAAAGGTCAACCATAATTTGTGATTTAGAAACAGGTATATTATTAAGCATATGCAATGTATAGACCAGAATTCTTTGGTCATACTTGTCTTCTCAGGCATTGACAGCTAGTACCATCAGGGTCTATGACTGCTCCTCTACCGTGTTCCTCACAGCCTGTGGTAGTGAGATAGAGCAGGGAAATGGGACAAGGGTCATGCCATTGCAAAGTCTATTTAGCCTGAGAAAAAGGCCCAGCTGATTCTTTAACTTAATCTATATCCTGTTCTTCCTCTTTTTCTAGCCTCTTTAATCAATGAGGTAACTTTGTAACCAGGACAAGAGATAGTCCTCTGAAGTGTAAGTGAACCTACATGAATAAAGAATGCCAAGATCTGGACCAACACAGTCATCTAAATAAACCTATCCTTAAGACAAAATTTCAAAGGAATTATGAATCGCCTGTACACATCATGCTTTACACTGACCCCTACCCAAAAGGCCCCATAAGAACCCTAAATCCTTAAGTGCACCTCCTCTCTGGGGTCACCTGCATTCCTGTCTGAGCGTGTACTGTCTTACATTCAAACTTTCTTGTTGTATCAGCTGATTGCACTTGTCTCTGAACTCTTTTCCATGATAAAGAACTCTCCAACCTCCACCTCTGGTGATAAATGTCTTTGTCACTTTGCTATTTCATTCAGCTTTCTTGTCTTAATATGATTCTCTTCTCTTCTCCTTGTTTTATTTCAGACAAGTAGGGAACCATTACAAAGATCTCTGATTTGGGCTTGAAAGTTCCTGTCACTGGGTAACCTGGATGAGACTGTAGATGTAAGATCATTCTCTTTAGCAGTCTGCCCGAAAATCTCCTTTCTTTGCCTTTGGGAGGTTCTCAGAACATAATCTTACTCCATCCAGTGCTCTGTGGCTCCCTCAAATCCTGGGGTAGTAGGGGCTTAGTTCCCACACCATGCAGATTCAAGAGCACATTGGACACCAGGTCACCCTGGCTTTAGGAGTTGGCGAGGGATTTGTCCTGTGCAGAGCAGAAGTTTGGTGAACTTCCCTTTCCTCCCTCTGTTCTTCATTCTCTGCTACCTGCACTCCTGCGCCATTCACTTCCACTCTTGCTTTAATGAATTCCTTCCTTACCTACATTCATGTGACCTGGTTGAGAATTCTTTCTCTATCAGAGTCAAGAACCCTTCCCTGTGTGGGCTGAGGTTCTATGTCGTGTGCAGGGAGAGACCTCCCCAGAATCAGCTGCCCGACAACAGTAGAACCTGAAGGACCTGGTGCCAGACTCTCTTTTTCTCTCCCCTCTCTGCTAGCATCATGGTAGGAGTGAGACAGGGACCATGGGTGTAGTCAGAGTAGGGTGAGGGCCTCCGGAAAAAGCAAGGCAGGATAATTACAGTCAGAGCAATGTAACTACATGTAAGGAAACTCCCTACCAAAACACTGTGTTAAACATTAAGCTCGAGGGTCATTCTTCTGTGAGATCAGTTAATATTCCCCAGATAAAGAATAGTAGCACATATTTTTATAATGCTAATGTGGATAAAATGAGAGTTCCTGTGGCCAGGATTCTCACCTGGCTCTGGTTGACCAGCTCACTGCACACCTGTGGGCAATACATGACTGTTGACTCTCTATAAAGAGCTCCGTCCAGTGCTCTGGGCACGACATGGTGGCAGGGCTGCAAGGCTGCAGGAGAGCAGAGGCTGGAGGGGTGGCAGTGCCGAGGACAGAGGCCCAGAGGATGGCTGTGCAGGACGACTGTGTGGGATGACTGTGCAGAGAGGCCCAGAGGACGGCTGTGTGGACAGAGGGGCCCAGAGGCAGAGACCGGCTTGCTGCCTGCAGACTAGCTCTGAGTGAACGGGATTTTAGCGACTGACCTGCCATTTGGAAATAAAGGTGGGTATAACCCTTTCACCCCAAGAACGTTTTGCTGTCATTTTCTTACCGAATCCATAGTGAACTTGCCTGGGGCTAAAACCCATTGGCAAGACAGTAATCATTTATAATCATTTGTAAGATTCACCTTAGCAGGCTAAAAGGCCCAGGTCTATGTGCTGTCTTTCCTCCTTCAGATCTGATGAGGTGATTTTGCAAACTGGGCAACTAATTTATCAAGTAAGCCCAGGCATAAACAACATAGTAAAAGGCAAGAAGGATTCCACCTTAAAGATAAGATTGCATTTTAATACCCAAGAAGTTAAGAAGTTAGAAGTTCCTAACCTTGTCTTTAGCAAACAATACCTCAGCCCACCTTGGGGGCTGGGCAGGCGGCCTTGTTTGATATGCTCCCAGACCAAGACCTCAGAAAAATCATCAGAGCAGGAAGTTGCTTGTGTTAAGTTAATTCTAAACATTCAAGGACCACTTAACAAGTCCACACCCCTAAGCCTTTTTTCATGTTCTCAAAAAACCCTCAACTGCCTATAAAACCCCTCGACAATGCACCACCCCAGACTCTTGTCCAATCCTACGAGCTCCGTCCTTTCACTTTATCTCTAAATAAAAGCCTGCACCTTGCTCTCCAACCTTGAGTGTTTGTGAAGCTCATTTTTCGGCTTCATGAACAAGAACCCCTGCATCAGCGGGAAGTCACCAACACAGTAGGTAGCTGCAAAGATATTGTTGAGGGGGAGAAGGACAGGGTCTTCACTGTTGTGAAATTTAATCGTTTCCATTTCGGTTGGAAGTTTACCCCTTGCTTCTGTTAGGCAGGAAAATAGATATGAGCAGTGTGGGAAGAGAAAAGGGCCAAAAAATCCAATAAAAAGACCCCAAAGTAATTAAAGCTCAAAAAGCCAGCATGTTTGTCCTGGAATGTTTGAATATTCCCCAGATAAAGGAGGGTACCTCAGCATGACCCATGTCTTTATTGTGTTAATCATGCAGGCCCAGCTTATTTTTTTACCTTTACCTATATGCTGTTATTTTTTCTCTTTCCGGCCCTCATTAAGTAGTTTGTAACCTAGGCAACTAATTTAGCATTCAGGCCCAGCTGTAAAGAGCACAGTGAAAGGCAGGAAGGATTCCATCTTTTTTTTTTTTAAATTTTTTATTAAGGTATGATTGATACACACTCTTATGAAGGTTTCACATGAAAAACAATTTGGTTACTACATTTACCCATATTATCAAGTCCCCACCCATACCCCAATGCAGTCACTGTCCATCAGTGCAGCAAGATGCCACAGATCCACTATGTCCCTTCTCTGTGCTACACTGTTCTCCCTGTGATCCCCCCCACCATGTGTACTAAACATAATACCCCTCAGTCCCCTTCTCCCTCCCTCCCCACCCACCCTCTCACACCCCTTCCCTTTGGTAACCACTAGTTTATTCTTGGAGTCTCTGAGTCTGCTGCTGAAGGGTCCCCACCAGTAAGATGGCAAACT